CCTGTGCTCGAGGCTGACAAGATTGGTTTTAACCAAATCACGTCTCTCCACTGAGTTCAATGCTGCCAGATGGCATTTTGTAGCACCAGCCCATATGTGGCAGCAGTACTCCATGTACGACTGGATTTGCGCATTATAAAAGGTAAGACGCTGCCTCGGCGTGAAGTACCACCGCACCCTTGCAAGGACACCAAGTTTCCTTGCGGCTGCGGCTCTGGACTCAATGAACCGCCCATAGCTTAAATTCAATCCCTAACAACTGAAGGCGGTCAGTGTATTCCACGGAGACATTCCGAAAAGTAGGAGCCAAAGTGAGCGAGCTCCTTTTAGTGGTAAAAAGAACGCTTGTGTTTTGAAGGCGTTAAATATCACGAGATTGGCATCGCCCCATTCGAAAACTGCCTGTAGTGTGAGACTCACTTATAATTAAACACATTTTACCATAGAGTGTTAGACTTTATAGATTGTTATTTATTTCACTTTTCCTCTAACGATACAGAAAATGTAAACAGAAACTTAAAGTATTTTGGAACTAAATTTATTATAATTATCTTTTCATAGCTTTCAAAGAGAAATTATTTTTTACTTTCTGCTATTTTACAATGGAGCATTTTATTTGTTTAAGATATTCACGACCGGAAAAAATGTTAAATGTTCGCCGCTCTGGGCCTTCTTTCAAGACTTATATATGTTGCTCTTTCAACATTACTTATCATATTATTGAGGTATAATTTAATATTTAAGGCATCAAATTTGATAACATGATATTATTATCTTTTACTCTTCTGATAATAATATGATCTGTTACCGTTACTAAAGAATATATATTATCCTTACAGCCTATTGAGGCGTCGTATTAGCTCAGATAGTTAGCGCTCGCTGAAAATTTCACAGTACGTGAGCATCCCTGGTTCCAAACCAAATTGTTAATTGTAATTTTAAGTGCTGATTTACCACGTGCTCGACGGTAAAGGAAACATTGTGAGGAAATCAGCATGTCCGAGAAATAGAAAAAAAAATATTTCGAAGATATGTAAAGTTCGCCAACACGTATTGAGGCAGCGCTGCGAACATTACCTTACCCTAAAACCCTCTCAGAAATGAGAGGAGGCCAATGCCAAGCAGTGGGATATAGGGTATATAGGCGCTAACTTTAACTTTTTAACTTTACATTCTATTGAATGTCCACCGCCGAACATGGGTCTCTCCATAGATTTCCTCCTCCTGAAGAAATACTTGCCATAGTTGCCACGCTCGGCAGGCGGGTTGGCAAGCAAAGTATTGTTTAATTTTTCAAGTTTTTCCCTCTATAGTGTCTTTCAACTTTGATCATTTTCACTGTACCAGTGTAGCGAGCACTATGTAAAAAAACCTACATAACCGGAAGCCATAATATTATTCCGGCATTTACCGTCCTCACTCTATATGACGTCCATCGTTCCTAATGAGACGATGTTTTACTTACGCAGAAAAAGTAAAGTAAGTAAATAAAGTGAATTCAAATTCAGATTAGGGTGGAGCCCATATGGTCTTTCTGCTTTAGGTGTACCATAATTGGGTGTTCAATATACAACATTATTTAGTTTAATTTTATTCAATGCATGATTCTGACTGAAGGGACGGACCTCACTGCTTACAAAATCCTATTTACATTTGGTTCAATAAATATATTTATTAAATTTGCAACGTATTCCTTGATTTATGCTCTCATTAAACGAAGCAATCCGAAACTGCAATCAATTTGCACTTTACAAATTGAAAGTTGTGGTACGCAATTTGCGCTGCCAAATGTTTTGTTTATTTACAGTTTAACGTTTTAAAACTGTTGTATAAAAAGAATTCCTCTTAAGCAAAGATTTATTATAGCCTAACAGCCTTTCATAAGTCCACTTTTGAACATAAAAGCCACAAGCAACTCCATTTGGTAGGAGGCCGCTCTACATTTAAATATGTGTATATATATATATATATATATATATATATATATATATTACTTTACTTACTTTACTTATACATATCTGTATTTATAAGAACACTGGAATCTCGATAACTCGCGTTTCAAGGAAAATGCTAAAAATTTCGAGTTAATGAGTTTTCAACTTCTTTTTAACAAAAATTTCAAGATTTTTTCCCAAACATAAGGTGAGGTAAGGTGTATTACTTAGTAAGCTTAATGAATGTATTCATTAATTGGTCGTAAAAAAATTCCACACAATAGAACAAACATTCCTTTTGGATTTTATTGCTATGAGTTTGGCGTATTCCATGTAAGACGTCGTTATATTTTTCTAACTTCAACTTACGTATTCTGCTTTTTGAAAGTTGGCTTATAGAGTATAAACATCTACATACATTAACTGCCAGGGAAATATCATTTTACTCGAGTAACAAATCATAAATAAATCGAGCTACCGCGTATTTATGAGTTCAGCGGAAGGGAAACGCATTTTTTCGTCTTACTAAGGATTACGGTTTAACGAGGTTCGCGTTATCGAGATCCCACAGAATTTACACTTTTTATTCGTGAAAAAAATGAATTTTCGAGTGATAAGACCTGTTCTGTGTCTGTTCTGTGTCTGTTGTGCATATACTTTAAATTATCATCTACTCGTTTGCTGTATTTCAAAATTCAGATGCGTTGTCAAACCTGAGGACTTAGATAAAATGCCTCTTGTCCAGTAATTTTTACTGTTACAGTGTACAGTCTACACGAAATACAGCAGCATTAAGCTGCTATATGACGCTGGTATTCTTTGAGAGCGTGGTCCTACCCCTTAACTTAAGTAAAATATTCTAACTTAATCTCGTAGTTGCGGTGTAAGAATATTCACTACCCCATATTATTCCGTGGGAATCATAAGATGTGACAGAGGATATTTGAACCAGGAGATGGGTAGCAGCATCTTCTTGATGACGATGGGATAAAAATACTACGAACTACGATTGTCTCTCTGATTGCGAAGAGTGGCAAATATGGTAAATATCACTCGTATGAGGCAAGTATGTATATTATGAATTTTGAATTTTTTTATATAAGAGTGCCACTCAAAATATTGGCGGCCACGTAAATAGTAATAAAAGTTTTTCCAAGTATATCCTGAGCATTATTACAAGTGTCAATCCCATTTGAAACATTACACTTAACATGCATGCAGGTGACTTGCAAAATAAATTATTCTTCTACATTACTGTACGCATTAATACATATTTAATCTATTATTTTCATAAACTGTCATAAATTTATATGTTTAAATTGTTAATTAATTTTATTGTGTTCTTTCTTCTTTCAAATTGTACATATTTTTGTCCATTGTAAATTTAGAAGTAATTTATAGGACCACATGTTATTCCCTGTACGTATCAAATATATTATCTATCTTTCATAAATTAAAACTTTACCAAATCAACGATCAAGAGAATCTATAATCGTAATTTAAGAAGTTATTTAACAGTATTAATATCTCTCTCTCTCTCCCATTCATTTGTTTACTTAGTAATAAATTAGCTTCATTTTATTACCGCAGGAACGTATATACCTATATACAATAATCTATGGCAGTAACGAGTTGTTCTCTTCATAAGGGATTGCTTTTGTTGTATTTCAATTTAATATTTAAAGTTAACTAAGCCAGTATTCAGAGAATAATAATTTAATAAAGCTTAATACGACTATTGATATTAAACCTTTGAATTTCTAGCTATTAAATGTAGCTAGTTAGTTTTTGCTGTCTATTTGACTTTTGAATTATTAGATGAAATTTATTTATTGAATAAAATACAACACACAAATTAAAAACAGATGTATCAATAAATTACTGTAATAGTTTCACTTTTATATTCAGTCGGGTAATAATTTATTCGAAAACTAACTTTCTTCAGACGATTGAAAAACCAGCCCAGAATTATATCGTTATATTTCTTTTTAATAATTATAAATAAATTTATTTACTTATTATCTCTCTGCCTTCCCCTATCAGATAACCAGGTCAGTCATTCTTCACCCTTTTTATTATACTGTCCAACGATTGGCCGCGGTATGAAAAAGGGGATACCACTCGTTAGGCAAGGTGAACAGCCCGGCTAGCAGCCCACGCTACGTGAGTTCGAAGTTATTCTATATATACCACTGTACTTAGGAACTTTGAGAGCGAGATATAGCTTCGATGGGTTTCGCTTGTAGCGCGATTACAGCACCGCCTCAAACGTATATTACACAAAATCTTATTTTAGGCTTCGGTTAGTCTAAGTCATTGCGCTTTACCCTCTTCAACTATATGACGACAGGCTACAAGTTCTTGTATTATTATTTATTCTGTGCCAATAATTAAAAAAAAAAACAATTTGTACATTATTGCGAGAATCATGTTAGAAATAATTAGCGATCGCTTATATTTTAAAGTTCTAATTTACCACACGCTTGGTAATAGGGGGTAAAATCGTGAGGGGAGCTGCATATCTAGGAAATTAAAAATCATACTTAGAGTATAATGTGAAACTGGCCAACACATATTGGGGTAGTGCGGCGGTCTCTTAACTGGTCTAAGAACCTTTTCAGATGAGGCTTTCGAGACATATATAGGCCTTACTAAGTTGTTATACTAATACTGGCAACCTCAAATGGCGAATTGGCATTAAAATGATATCTAACAAAATATCAAAATGATATCTAACAAAATAAATACCAAATATTAACGCGTCTCGCACCTTGGACGTTGCTGCCTGTAGAATGCTCGAAACACTCACACTAAGTATAGGTACACTTTATCACTCCGTTAGTTAAAGGCACACCGAATACGTCCGCACGCCACGGCCGTTCACAGTTGACTGTCCTCCGTCCGCATCCCCACCGCTTATCTACTGTAACTAGACGATCGCATATCCCCACCACTAAAATGCTGTATACTACATCCCTTCCTTGTTAAAATAAAACAACTGTTAATATTACCTTGAAAAACTTTTAATCAGATTCAAACATTAATTAAATTAAAATATAATAGACATCAGTCTTCGTGTTGGCTGCCTTCTGGAAGTGTTTCACTTTCTGCACTCTGATCGATAATTTTCCACTCACCGTTTTCTACTCTTTTAAGGTGAACAATATTCCTGCGGTATTCTTTTCCTGTTGAATCATTCCTTACCCTAATATCTCCACCATTTACATCCGTTACTGTATGGGTCTCTGGGTTAAAATTAGGAGTTAATTTATTTTCTTTACTCATATTTTTTACGTATACTTTCTCTCCGACTTCAAAATAACTATCTACTGCCTTCCTTTTCCTGTCCGCATATTCCTTTCCCTTTTCTTTTTTTTCTTTATCCCTGTCTCTTACATCCGGATCTATAATTTTATATTCTATGTCTACTGCCATACGTATTTTATCCTGAAACTGTCTCCGAAAGAAAAGTTCGGCGGGAGTTTTTCCGGTTGTCGTATGAGGGGTGCTATTGTACATAATGAGGTATTCTAAAAGGTCATCTTTCCATTCCATTTTTTCTAACTGGCTTATTTTGAGCCGCTTAAGCACGTCTCTGTTTTGGCGCTCGACTTCTCCGTTCATCTGTGGCCAGTAAGGAATTGTGTTGTACATTACAATGCCGCACTCCTTGCAGAATGCTTTGAAGGTCTCGCTAGTAAATTGGTTACCATTGTCACATGTTAGCGTCGCAGGGTATCCTAGTCGGGAAAATATTTCTTTGAGTTTCTTAACCGTTTCTATAGCGGTAATATTTCTCATTATTTTTATCTCCTTGTAGCGACTGTAGTAATCGACTAGGATAAGTAAATAATCATTTGATGGCAGGGGTCCTAAGAAGTCTATTGCTACGTCAATCCAAGGCTCGACTGGAAGTTCTCGTCTCTTTGTCGGATGGGGCGGGTTGGGTGCTGAAAGGAGTGTGCACCCTTTGCAAGCTTTGACTCGATTTTCAGCATCTCTATCAATTTTCGGCCACCAAACCTTTGTTCTGAGGCGAGTCTTCATGGCAACAATGCCAGGGTGTCCTTGATGGGCAGCCTCGAGTACTCTGTCACGTAGCTGTTTAGGGATAATTATTTTGCTTCTTCTTAGGGCTATTTTTCCATGGAAACAAATCTCCGACTGGAAAGTCTTATAAGCATTTACACATTCATCCCACTTGTTGTCGAAAACTCCATTTTTTAGTGCTTCAATTTCCTTGTCTGATGCACTAGCTATGTCAATTTCATTTAGTGGTACTGCTATTGGCCTACTGTATTCTACCACTGCATTTATATAGTTTTCATTATCGAATGGTACCGGATGAATCGATTCACAAAGTCGGGAGATAGGGTCAGCGATATTTTGTTTGCCTGGACGGTAAATAACCTTGTACTTGTAAGCCTGCAGCCGCAGAACACAGCGCTCTATGCGTGCACAAGGCTTAGATCTGATCCCAAAAATAGCTTCTAGGGGCTTGTGATCACTAATGAGTTCGAATTCTTTGCCCAATAGATATATTTTAAAATGTTCTATGGCCCACACCAGTGCTAATGCTTCTTTCTCCGTCTGACAGTATCTTTTCTCACAATCAGTAAGACTCTTATTACCAAACGCTATCACGCGGGGACCGTTACCATCAATTTGAATAAGTACTGCTCCTAGTCCAACTGGAGACGCGTCAGCTATTATTTGCGTTCTATCCGCTGGGTTATAATAGCCTAACGTTGGTATGTTCGAGAGTTGTCTCTTAAGGTTTTCAAATGCCTTGTCCTGGGTGCCTGTCCAATATTTTTGAATGTTAGCGGACTTACCCAATTTAAGGCGTATCAGCTTCCGAAGGGGTTCTGTAAGCGAAGCCAAATTGGGTATCCACTTTCCGACATAATTGACTAGCCCAAGAAAACTCTGTATTTCTTCGATATTTGAAGGCTGTTTTGAAGATTGAATTGCTTTCATGTATTTGTCCAGAGGCTTTACTTCATTTCCCGTTAATTGATGTCCTAAAAATTCAATCCTGTTTGTCTTGTAGATGCATTTAGCCTGGTTGAGAAGAACATTGTTTTCCTTCAACACCCGTAGTACTTTGTCGAGTCGTCGGTCATGCTCAAGCTCGTCAGATCCATGGATAATAATATCGTCTATAAAGTTTGCAGTGCCCTCACAACCTAGTAACAACTTTTCTAGGACCTTTTGAAACATTTCAGGTGCACACGACACTCCAAACATTAGTCTCTTATATCGGAACAAACCTTTACTGGTACTAAAGGTTGTGATGTACCTACTGTCTTCATCTATCTCCAATTGATAGAAAGCATTCTTTATGTCGAGTCGGGAAAAATATTTAGCTTTCCTGAAATTAGGCAAGAGCTCATCCATTGTCGGGAGTGGGTGATTTTCCCTTATGATGGCCTCGTTTGCCCTCCTCATGTCGATGCATATCCGAATATCACCGTTTTCTTTTAGTACTGGCACCATTGGTGATACCCACGGTGATGGTCCATTGACCTCTTCAATTATATCGGCTTCTTTAAGTTCGGCTAGTTTCTTGTTCACCTTTTCTTCCAAAGGAATTGGTATTCTCCTGTACGGTTGAATTACCGGCTTGACTCCCTTATTGATAGGAATCTGTATTGTAATGCCTTTAAATTTGGGAAAGGTACTGATGTTATTGACAGGGACGCCAATTCTAAGAGCGTCAAGTTGAATTGCGCTTGTCTTTCCCAGAAGGTTACGTGTCCCATTCCGAATCACATAGAAAGTTGCTTTTTTGGTACTGCGGCCATCAATTGTTATAGTAGCATCAAAAGCACCGAGTACACCTAAAGGTTTTTGACTACCATAGGGTAATAATATCTTCCCAGGATTCTTAATTTGATTCGTGACTCTCACTTTATGACTTTTCAGATGTTCCCATGTCTTGTCTGTAATAATGTTGCATTTACTACCCGAATCAATTAGCATGTCTATAATTACACCGCCAACTTTGCAATCGATAACTGCATCGTCATCTAATTGGAAAACATAGTCCACTTCTTCAGCATTTTTCTTTGTTTGTTTGTTAAATTTGTACCTCTTTGTGTTAACAATATCATCATTCCTTGAGTTAGTTTTACGTTTCTGTTCTTTAGTCCTGCAATATTTATTATAATGCCCAATGATTCCACATTTTAAACATTTTTTGTCCCTTGCTGGGCAGCCATTATCGAACGATAAGTGTTTGTTGCTACCACACCTGAAGCAATTCTTGAACAAGTTTCGAGTCGATGGTAATTTCTTGCTATCTAGTCTGTTAATTTCAGATTTGTTTGTGTCGTAAACTTTGCTTGGGCCTGGTCTATCAAACGTATCTAGTTGTCTATTCACGGTTTCTAATGTAATAGCAATAGTTATTACTTGCTGAAGGGTGATATTATCTCCTCCGGCCAAGATTTTCTTTCTTAATTCCGCGCTTCGACCTTTTTCGACAATTTGGTCGATTAGATTTTCATCTTTAGCGGTAAATTGGCATTTATCGGCTTGGTTTCTCAATCTCACTAAAAATGTTTCAAATCTTTCCCCTTCCTCCTGTTTCATCAGTCTAAAAATGTATCTTTCGTAATATCTGCTTTGTTTTGGGGAAAAGTATTCGCTTAATTTTTTTACAGCAGTTTCGTATACATCCACGTTATCAGCCTCATCGATGTGAGCCCCTGGTAAGTTGTAGTACACTTCTTGCAGAGCAAGTCCACCAATGTGCAAGAGTGTGGCTCGCTTTTTTCCACTAGATTCAATATTGGCGGCTAGGAAATATATTTCTAGGGCTCTCTTCCACTTTTCCCATCTCACCCCAACAGAAACAGGATCGCCTTCACACTCAAAATGGTTAAGACCCGGAAACGCTGATGTTATCTGGGCCATTTTGGGTGATCTGTAACAATCGCATCACAATTTACGATATATTAACAATTACACTAAGAATCGGAGAACCAAACTGTCAAACATTAATATTTTCCTAATATTAACCATTTTTACTTAGTACGGTCTCTCATATTGACCCTTTAACTAAGTACGGTCTCTCATATTGACCCTTTAACTAAGTACGGTCTCTCATATTGACCCTTTAACTAAGTACGGTCTCTCATATTGACCCTTTAACTAAGTACGGTCTCTCATATTGACCCTTTAACTAAGTATGGTCTCTCATATTGACCCTTTAACTAAGTACGGTCTCTCATATTGACCCTTTAACTAAGTACGGTCTCTCATATTGACCGTTTAACTAAGTACGGTCTCTCATATTGACCCTTTACTTAGTACTATCGAACAACCTATTGTCGAAGCCTATCTTCTAAATCACAATTACGTGGTATTTAAAACACCACCTGATAATATTTTCCTTTTCCAATCGATCGAGTCAACTTATATTTATTAGAAAACTCGTTATAATTAGCACGTATTATATACCTTTTGTATTAAGTATTCAAACTGCACGAGTAATTAGAATACCAAATTCAGGCTCTTGTTTTTTGAAAGCAAAAATAAGCTTACTTTATTTCGCTAACTAACTGGTGTAGTACGATATTAAATGAATGTATCATGAAATAGTGTCAATAACCGACCAATAAGTTCTGGTTTATAACAACTAAAATATCAACATAACTTATATACAATGCTCAAAGGTTTTCTATTTCAAAATAGTCATACTGTTGCATTAAAATTTGTAGGGTATGTTCTAACATTTTTTTTTTTAAGTATTTCCACACTTTCATAAGCTATCTTTCCCTTTTAACAAGATATGAATTTTCTACTTACGTTTATCCTCGTCGCCACTTGTAGAATGCTCGAAACACTCACACTAAGTATAGGTACACTTTATCACTCCGTTAGTTAAAGGCACACCGAATACGTCCGCACGCCACGGCCGTTCACAGTTGACTGTCCTCCGTCCCCATCCCCACCGCTTATCTACTGTAACTAGACGATCGCATATCCCCACCACTAAAATGCTGTATACTACACTGCCCATCGCCATATTGTGTAATTTTTGATCTGGCGTAAACAAGATGATACAGCCTTCTTTTAGAAGTCACAAGATTTTGCTGCGTCTCTTTTTTTCGCCATATAGTGACGTAAGAGAATCCATTATCTCACATAATCTCGCAGGCGTCGTAAGAGCCCACAGAGAATAACAGGAATTGGGAAGCAGCATCTTCCCGATATAACCACTCAAAATAATAAAAAACTGTGCTTGACAACCCGCGTATCAAATGTGGAAGCCATGGCATTTTTATATGGTAGAGGCATGTTGCAGCTATATTGTAATTACGTGAAGACCATGCTGTCACAGAATACTAACGTGAAATAGCAGCCTATTGCTGCTGTTTCGTATGTTGAACCAAATACTCTTTTCACTGGCAACGAGGTATTCCATATTCGATTTATGAATTATGATATTAGGTATATCATAATTCATAAATCGAATATGGAATACCTCGTTGCCACTCAAAAGAGTATTTGGTTTGTCAAAGTGTTTTTAAATTCTATCTCTTTATTAATTCTACGTCGTTGTCCGCAAATGTCGAGCGATTCAGTGCTAAAGCGGGGAAGAATTGAGAAAAAATAAAGTATGTCAAACCTCCAATAAGAAAAAAAAATTAACAAATTTGTTTTACACGTTTTACGTGGAGCCATGGTGTAGCTATACACTAATGGATCGGCTCGACCAGGTAGGACCACGCCTTTATAGAACACCGACGAACTAAATGCTGCTGTGTTTCGTATGGTGAGTATAGAGAACCCGAGACCCTTTTTACTGGTAACGATTCATATCAAAATGTAGATGCGAGTCATAACGCATCAGCACGGCTATCATGGGCTTGGGACAAAATTTTATCCCCCGATTATATTCACAGACAAGAGATAAAATTATCTTGTCCCCAATGCCAAAGCACGGCAACGGGGAGAAGTGTATCCCCTTTTGACATAACGAGAGACATATATACCCCGTTGGTAGCATGGAGTCAAATGAAAGATTAAAAATTATGTTGTTTTGACATTTGAAAAGGACAATTATATCCTAGTTCATTGGACATGGGTTTAAGTTCATATTCATACAAGGAATCTATATAAGTTTAAGTCTATCTCCCATTTTATCTCCTGTGGATATTATATCCGCCGGTGTGCCCATGCTCGAAGGGTGGATAAAACTAAGCGAGGCGATAAACATTTCCTCTTTTACCCGGGGATAAAATAGTCTCCTGCCCATGCTAACCCTGCTGCATTTTGATTTTTAATCGAGCAATAGATGTAGATGTGTACATAGCTTCCACTTACCATCAGGTGTACTGTGTGCACGTTTGTCACCTTTATTCTATAAAATATATATCCCGCTTATGAGGCAATCTACAGAGAAGGCCTGTGTTCAGAAGAGCAAATTGATTTGCTTTAGTGATGATGCCGTTGATAAAGAAAACTTTTCTGGCATTTCCGTTTAGAAAATTATGTGATGGATTCTTAACGCCAATATCACACGATACATAAACTTCCATACAGTATATATAAGTATATTCCACTCGAAAGGAAAGAAAGCTTTATAAAAAGTTAGTAAAAGTAACTATTGAAAAACTTTTCAAGGGTACAGTTTGTCTACAATTTGACATATCGTAGTTTTTCCATTACAGGGGTAAAGATATAAGTTTTTAGAACACTTCTGTTTTTTAAGCGCGATATTTTTTTTCACTCCTCTTTACATATGTCCACTGGTATATATATATATATATATATATATATTCTTTATACGTAGTGCGTCACGCTGCAGCCATTTTCTATTTTATTTTACATTAATTGTAGCAGAAACAAGTTGACTCGGTTCAAAATATTATATTATGAAGCTATTTAACACTATTTGCGCTGCAGCCATAATACACATGTAGCGTGGCTCTACACGTAATACATAATGTTGTGCTTGGTGAGGTCCTTGCGTGGTAGAGCTATGCTCCAGCTATATTACTGGTATAGTTGTAGCACAAATGGTTCGGTTCGACCGGGGAAGGAACACGCTCTCACAGAACATCAGCGTAAAATAGCAGCATAACGCTGCTGTATTTCGTATGGTGAGTGTAGAGAACCGGAAACCCTTTTTAACTGGAAAGGAGGCATTCCATCTTAGTCCTCACGGGTGACAACGCATCTGTATTTTGATTCGTAATCGAGGATAGATGTAGATGTCTATGGACCACAGCAACCACTTACCATCATGAGGACTGTGTGCTCGTTTGTAACCCTAATTCTATAAATATTTGATATTTAACAGCTCGTTAAGAACATGAATATAAGATATCTCAAAATTATTGCACCTCAGCTCATTTGGTCGTATCTGCACCCGATGTAAAGTATATATGATATGATCGCAGGTAGGCGATAAATTGGTCTCCAACTATACCCATTTTATAGAAGGGTGACCAACGAGCACACAGTCTATCTGATGTTAAGTGGTTGATACAGCACCAACAATTATCCTTGATTAAGAATTAAGGCTAAGATGCGCCTTGTTGAAGATCCCCAGTGATTAAGATCTTATGGCTTGGTACTTGTAAAATAAATGACAGTGACAATATGCTGCTACTATACGCAGGTATTTTGGGTGAGTGTGATCGTTCCCCGGTCGATCCAATCCATTCCTGCTAGAGCTATACCACGCATTTTTAACAGGCATATAGCGTAGCAGCGCGTTTGGTATAACATATTTGAAGCCGTTTATTTTCGGTAGTACAATCTGATTTTCAAGTTTTGAGGTATTCCTGACGAGAAGATGTGTCGTAACTTTCCAAACGCTGCCCAGTTTGTTCCAAAGTCTGCCCAGAATTGAATCCGTCGATTGACCTTTCGCTCGAAGGTTAAGGAACGTTGGTCGAGATTGTCAACCAATACGTATTGCCAGTTATGACTTATGGATCTGAGACATGTTCCTTCCTCCATGGCCGTATGTGGACGCTCAAGGTCGCTCAGCGAGCTATGAAAAAGGCTATGCTCAGAGTTTTTCTGCATGATAAACTTAGAAATTAGTATATCCGCAGTAGAACCAGAGTGAGGAATAGAGTTAACGGATTAATAAGCTGAAGTGGCAATGGGCCAGCCATATAGCTCTAAGAATTGACAACCGATGGGGGAAAAAAGGTTCTCGAGTGGCAGCCTTGTACCGGTAGGTGAAGTGTAGAGCGATCTCCGACTAGAGGAAGTGACGACCTGGTAACACATGTAGGAAGTTGATGGATGCAGGTGGCTCATGACCGTGCTTTGTGGCATTTCTAAGGGGATGCCTATGTTCAGTGGGGGACTTGTGAAGAGCTGTAATGATGATGATAATGATGATGATATATAAGATTGGAAGCCATACATAAGGTTGCCACGAAGGACATAGTGTAACGCATATAATCCCATTTGCACTTCGGACAACGTTTATTCGAAAAATATAGTTTTCGATGGAATTGTCAAAGAAGTGGAAAGTGACTAGCCCATTGCCTAAACAATTACAAATCCAATGTACAATTAGTCGCCATTTGTGATATGCTAGTCAAGTGACAGAGTCGGCGAGTCAGAAAGAATCATAAGAAACCTATAAGTCCCAGACCAACATGCCTCAATAATATTGAGTACACTATTTCAAATAACTCCATCGTGGTGGAAGATACGATAAGTAAAATGGTAACCCGACCTCTCGCGTGAAAAAGTTTTTCCATTTCGTATTCATATCTAAATCCTTTTTCCAATATTTGAACAACTCAAAGGTCGTTGCTGAAAGTTAGTGCGCTTGTAAAATGCTGAAAAGCGTTTTAAAAAAACCCTTTTCTTTGTCTGAAATGAAAAAAGAGGTTCCTTTTTTGAGTAAAATGTTTTATATTGAAATACATTTACTTTAT